AATGCGCCCACCGAACGGAAAAGCTGAACATTTGCCGTGGTTGGAAGCATTAGCGCCACGTCCTCATGATATGCCGAAAGAAGTAGTTAGCATTTTTGATGGGGCTGCCTTAGTCCACCAGTTGGAGCCTACGAAGTGCAACAGTGTGGTCAGGACATTTGGGTACTATGCACAGAAACAGTTCCTTCCGTACATTGCCCGAAAGTTAAACGAGGAGTCTGTTATGCGTGTTGATCTAGTGTGGGACACCTACAGAACGGACAGTCTCAAAGGAAGCACCAGGCTTGGTCGTGGCACTGGCATACCACTCCATGTGACTGAACAGACATCCGTACCACGAAACTGGAGCAGCTTCCTTCGTGTAGATTCCAACAAAAAGACACTATTCAGTTTCCTTGCAGATGTTCTGCAAACGATGGCTGTTCCAGAAGGGAAAATACTTCTAACAACCAATGAAGAAGAGGTTAAATCAAAGCCCCATTCTGATGTTTCTCAAATTAAACCATGTACGCATGAAGAGGCTGATTCACGCATGTTGCTACATGCTTGGCATGCATATCAGCGGGGGCACAGAAGTATAGTAATTCATGCAACAGACACGGATGCGGTTGTGTTGGCGATTGCGATGGCAAGCGTTATGGACGGCTGTGCAATGTGGTTGGCATTTGGACATAGAAACAATTTCAGGCACATTGCTGCTCACACTATTGCGACTCACATTGGCCCTGAACGCTCATGGGGCCTTTTGTTCCTGCACCCTGTTTCCGGATGCGATACTGTTTCTGCCATATCTGGGATTGGCAAAAAGACCGCGTGGAACATATGGAATTCCATGCCTAACTTGAAGGAGGTCTTCAATCATCTCTCACATGCACCAGCTGAAGTAACAAATGATGATATGAACAACATAGAGAGGTTCTTCGTTGTTCTGTACAGTAGAACTTCGCCTCTGAAGAAAATGAACAAAGCACGGAAGCAGCTGTTTGCTCAGGGAAATCGGCAATTGGAAAACATTCCACCAACAAAGGAGTCACTGCGTCAACATATGAAGAGGGCAGTCTTTCAGGCTGGTCACATCTGGGGACAGTCTTAAATTGCAAACCCAAAGCTGCCTTCACCTGCAGATTGGGGATGGGCAAAAAATGCTGATGATGGCTGGCGTCCATTTTGAACAATAATGGCAGAGGCGTCAAAGGGGTGCCGAGAGCTGATCAAGTGCAAATGTAAGAAACGGTGTGCTGGAAATTGCAAATGTTCCGCAGCTAATCTACCATGCACAGAACTGTGTTCTTGCTCAATGCTTCCCAGATGAGCAACAGGAGAAGTAAAATGGATGGAAAACGTCTTGCGGCATGTTACAGCTTTCAATTGGTGAGGGAAATATTTTGGAATAGGCTTTTTGCTCTATTAAACAATTGAACTCTGCATGTCGAAATGCCCTTGTGTACTAAATTTCAGCGCCACAGGTCATTTAGAACCCAAGATAGTAATATTCAATGTTTCGTTATCGCGGCCATATTGGAATTCAAGATGGCGGCCGATCCAGTGGTCAGACCTCTTGGATCCGGCAATTTTCGAACTCAGCATGTCAAAATACCCCTGTATGCAAAATTTCACACTTTCTGCCAGATGTGGACATTTCGACCTATTTTTGTTACATATCTGCCCCACTATACTGATCCAGACGAGACGGGATACGTGCTGCCTAACAATTCGCCTCGACGGCGATACACTTCATTTGAAACTTTCACAGCACGAATACACATTACAAACACTTCCATCTTGTTTCTCCTTGAACAACAGTATTCACATTGTTATAAAAACATACAGTCTCTGTTCGCTAACGCGAGCTTGTCATGCAAATCACACAAAGACTGTGACGAAATTCTCGCGTTCCGAACGTTGCCCCATATGGAAATGGTTGTCAGCCGCCAAACACTGCAGCGTTTTGTGCACTCGTTCCAATGGCGAGGCACTACGTACGGGAGTTGGAAAGCAGTGTTCGCCGCCATACCCGCCGCCATAGCTCCATAGAACTGGCACACGCTTCCACCTCTCTGCTTAGCTTTAGTCACTCGATGTAATCGAGGTGGGTGAGTCCAAGCTATATAGCCTTTTGTCGCTTGAGCCATTTCCATTACTGGGCAAGGTTCGCGAACGCAAATTTCGTCAGTCTCTTCGTATTTCCAACGTGAACACAGCTAGCTGTTACGAACAGAGACATTATGTTTTATTATAACAAAAAAGTGAACACTGTTTCACGTCCCAAATGTCTTGCCCTCGTGTGTCCTCACCACTAAAATTGTGGACTGTTCGCTGGCAGCTATGGGATTGGGCCTCGCCGTCTAAGCCATTTCGCACACGCTATCCAATACTGCCAGGCTGCATCACTGTCGTAGGACGTTCCCGCGGCGCGCGTGCGCCTTGCTGCGGCAACTGCGCACTAAGATCTGGCGCTCAGCACTCGGGTCAAATCACCGCCTTCGGCAACGCTCTCTAGTATT